CCCCCCCCCCCCCCCCCCCCCCCCCCCCCCCCCCACCCCCCCCCCCCCCCCCCCCCCCTCCCTTCACCTATAGAATAAAAAATTTATATATATATATATATATAACAGTTATTTTATATAAAACAATTTTGTAAGAAATCGAGAAGATGTTATCACGATTATCGTCACCATTTTAAAATTCTGCGACGTTTAAGGTACCGCTAGATACATTCACCTAACCCAAGTTCACGTTACTACTCTCTTCATGTAGTTACATTGCCGCAGAAATTTGTGCATCCGAATCTGGTGCATTTTACCGACACGATTCATACAGGTCTCGCTCTGGCAGAGAGCGCAGAATTCGGCAGAGATGTCGTGAAACGGTGAACGAAAATATACGCTGGCGTTTTTCAGAGTCTTGTTCTTGTGATGTGCCCACACATGCAGAGTGACCTTAATATGAAAACAGCATGAAAGATCGGCCTTGACTATGTTTACGAAAATAAATATTTTCTTCTTTAAAACTTTCGACATTTATAATACCTCGAAAAGCATCAATAAGGCGAGGAACCAGCGGAAATAGATGATGGCCGGTAAAAACAGACAAATGGGATTTATCTGGCCAAAGGAGGCACCCGGTGGAACCGGTTCTAGCTCTGTTAAATGGCGTTTTTTTGATGATTTTTCCTTCACCTCCTTTGGTATCTGCAAGAAATAAATTGCTTATTACGATAATACTGAATATTGGAGGCGACTTTTCTGATTTCAATAACTTTGAAATATGTGAGTAAGGTCATAATATACAGCTCTGAGAGCAAAAATTCAAAAAGTTTGAACCGTTAGTTATTTATTACAAAATTATAAACAAATTAGGTTAATCATAGCTCGATACTTTGAATAAAACAAAGTCTAAAGATGTGTAATACCATAGATTTTCGATTTTCCATGCAAAAAGCGAGATCTATCATTTCACATCCGAAACAATGAACAATGTGGGATGAATCTCCACCATTACATAACAAATATTTTGTGACCCATTTCTTAATATTATTCATTGCAACATCAAGATGATCACTATTTACGTTACTGGATGTTTTCTTATGGAGTTATCTCAAAGATAAAATGTATTTGCATCCATTTGTTTCCATTGAAGACTTAAAAGAATGGATTAGAATAAATTGTTTAAACGTTTATAAAAATAGTGATCATCTTGATGCTGTAATGAAGAATATAAAGGAATGGGTCATAAAATGTTCGTTATGTAACAGTGGGATGTTTGAACATCTCCTTGAATAATGCAAAAAAAAATATAGTACCATAAAAAAAAAAAAAAGTAATTGCAGTTTTTCGGTGCATCGTTGCACTTATGAAAAAAGTAAGTCGATAAAAAAATCGATATTGTTATACTATCCAACTTTTGCCTGTACATTTCTTTTTATTTTCAATAGGACTAGATGTTCTAGAATCTATTCCAATTACGTTCCAATTGACGCACTCTGTATATATTTAATGCGAATTCACAATTATTATATACAAACATTATACTATCCATACTATCTCATTTTGTAAATTTACATAAATTAGTTTCATGATAGTATTTATTAATTTATTTATTTTTAAATTACGATAGATTAAAAATATAGTAAAACGAGAAACATTGGTTCCAGATTCAAGTCAGAGACTTTAAAAATAAATTCTTAAAAAGAGGAGATGCGCGAATATTTTCCAAGTACCTGAAATGGCACTTTCCTAAGATGACCTCTGATCCCGTTGTCTATGAGGTTGACTTCTGGCTCCCCAGTCTCCGCGTCATTCATCGCCATTGAGTCGATCGAATGAGAAATGTTACAATCGACGAACGGGTGGATCAAATCCTCGCCGGTTTCCTCGTCTATATAAATCCGATTATCCATATCGATTCCTTCCTCGTTCGATGAAAAAATATCGGCCGATAAAAAGATGTTCAGCTGTCGATTGCAGGGTCCTCGGGGTCACGCTTCCCGGATGTCTCCTTTGTACGCGTTATGCTAATAGCGGTGCACTTTGGTAGGAAGACTCCTAAATTAGGTTGAAAAACAATCTGCAACAAGAATGTTTTAATTTCACAGTATCGATTTTAGAAGATAAAATTAACATTTGTTATGTAATAATGTGATGTATTATAGTAGAATGTCATAAATATAGATAATCCAATCTTAGATTCTCAAGAATATAGACATTGCATGTTTGCAAGCTTCTGTGGTAATTGATTGCGTTATAGGTTTCCTGCACATATCAAAAATAATGTATATAACTACGAAAATATAAGTAACAAATGCTCATATAAGAATATATATAAAAAGCGCGATAATCAATAATTAATCACCCAGTAAGCAAGAAATCATTAATACAATGTTATTACAAAGATATTTTATAACATGTAACGTTTTCAAATATATATTTTTTAATGTTGTATCAACGTCATAGTAAATAAACTTTTTTTTTCACATCTGAAGATTTCGATAAGGTTGAAATAGAAGTAATATATTGTTCAAATATAATGATGTCGTTTTAAAATATTATATTATTAGATAACATTTTTAAAATATTTATAAAACATTATGTGTTCATAGAAGAATGTTCATAAAATGCATATTAAATTAAAATATTTAAAAATATTAATTTTATGTTACTTGCTTACTGGGCATCTATAGTTGCTTGCGTTAAAAAAATCACGGCGCTATTTTCCGAAAGTGGTATTGTAAAAAAATTATTTGCTTCTTTTTTTTTACTGATTCGACAAGACTTGTGTGAAGGCGACAGATTACAGGCTTCTTTTCTTATTACATCAGATTATATAATATCAATCGTGCGTCCACAATATGAATCTCTCGATGAGTCTCGCAACTATTAGTATCGTTAACAGCGAAACACATGCGACAAATGTATCTATATTTTTTCTCTTGCATGACAATTTTGCAAATGTACAACACATGACTTTGCGGTTTTGATAAACTGACGATTTTTATTTTCTTCTCTTTATTTTCTTCTTTTCTTTTTAATAGAAAAAAATCACTGGTGTTCCGGAAATGTGCTAATTAAAGTTGCAAAACATATTAAATCCAAAATATAAAACCTTGAAATGTTGTGTGTATGCATGTATGTATATATAAGCAAGCAAGGTTTAGAAAATAGCAATAAAAAGGTTTATACTTAAAATTATTTGAAATACATAAAATAGGTAATATATTGTACTTGGTTCTTGCTCTAGATAAACGTGTTTCTTGCTCTGGATAAAAAACTTGACGCGATTCTTGCATTCCAAGAATAATTAGCGGCGATAAAATGATCGCCGCTAATTTACGGAAAAACAATTTTCATCGATAAAATTACATAAACAGCATAATAACTCACATTTGTTTCTTTTGTATGAAATGCAATTATCAAAGTAATTATGATAACGCAATGTACGCTTTTTCAATATCGCGAGCAATAAAAGCATTAAAAAACAAGATAAAGCTCACAGAGAGAGAGAGAGAGTTGACATTTTATATAAATTCTATACATGTATTTACCTCATATATTATATTATATACTTGGATATTATATATAAGTTTTATATTCAATTATAAAAATATGTTTTTTTAGCATGTTATCAATAACTCTTATCTGGAATAATGCAAGAAATAAAATAGGTAAGACTTTTATTATGTTAATACATTAAGATCAAGGTTTATTAAGGTGCACTCTTATCAGAATGAAATACAATATGACAATACCAGCCATTGTGTGTGTGTGTGTGTGTGTGTGTGTGTGTGTGTGATTTCACAGAGAAGAAAATGAAATGATAAAGAACGGAAATTTTAATAATTAAATATTAGAAAGAGAAAAAAATATGAACTTGCAAATTTTTCAAGAAGAAATGTGTATGTGTATACATGTAGTAAAATGTGTAAGTTCGATCCTCTTTTGGAGAAGATATCGACAGAGATAAAATAAAATCATGCGCGCCGATTATGATACATAATTGCAAATTGGAACTCACAGTATTGACGATATTATCGCAGTAATCAACATGGCCTTCGTAGCTGAAGCAGCTTAAGATACGGTATCAAAATCCATTTCGCAAATTCATTCAACAATCAATTCCAGCGAAGCAGATGATAGTCCAACTGCAATGGTTGAATTCAAATCAAAAAATGCAACGCGATGTCGCGATCACCGCAGAAGTGCACGATACATTTAATTAATGGCTCGATACAAAGTGCATGATTCGCATCGAACGTCCTCAACTATCTATCAATAACGATTTACAAGCATTAATATCAACATAATCAACATGGAATCGGATTGGACCGAGCACTAGGCCATCGGTAAAATATTATTGAAGACCATCGACTCTAATGGCTCCTCCATGCAGGACGCGGTAGCCAATCGACTTAAAATTTTTCCAAGAGCGAAAGATCGATTGGCTACCGCGTAGGAGCCGTTACACGCAAGGAGTTGACGGTCTAGTTAATATATATACAGTCCGTGACTTTTCGAGCACGCTCCGAGCGCGGGGATGCGAGTCCGGTGGCGCCGCCAGCAACACGACGGTACAATCTGTCAGTTGTCAGGCAAGATGGCCGAGCGGTGGTGACGAGTCTCGTAGTATGCACCGCTGGTGGATTCGCTATCACGGCGCAGCGTGGATGGCCTAACGATGGCCGAGTACATCGACATTGGCAAGCTCCCGGAAGACGTGCGGGAGAAGCTCGCCGAATTGGATCTCGAACTGTCCGAGGGTGAGTGATTTTTCTTTCGATCGATGCGACGTCCACCGCCCTTCGCGACAAATCTCGTCTCTACCCGTTGCACTTTTTTTCTCTCTCTCTCTCTCCCCCCCCCCCCCGTCGTTTATTGATAAAATCGATAACACCTTACGGCCGTTGCCGTCTCCATTCTAAACTCGTGCTGTTATTAAGGATACTCAGTAATTCGCATTGTTCTTGTTTTATAAATCAAGCGGCAAGAAAGTATTATTTAAATTCGTTATCGCTTGTGTGGCAAAAACAAAGGAAATATCAGGGAAAGCGAGAGGGCGAGGAATAAATTTCAAAATACATTTTAGTGACAAACAGTATATATGAATAAAATAATACGGATATAAATAGTATTCGTTCATGTATCTCTCTCTCTCTCTCTCTCGTTTTTTTATTTCTAAAAAAAATCACAATGGCCGTCCATCCTTTTCAAAATAGACGGAGAGAAGAGTTCTTTTTCCTTCAATAAAAATTGCATTCTGATGTCGCATAGTTTTACTTATACAATGATCATCTTTCATTCATTGAAAATATTGTATCTTATGCTCATATTTTATTACGCTCCCATTATTTGTTCTTGTGATTTTGAATTAAAATCGCTTTAATTGGCTCGTTTTTTAATATAAGGCGTAAACGCGATTGAACGACGTTAGAAAAATTTCATGATTTATCGTGCTTCTATTTTGAAGCATTTGGTTTCTTGGATTCATAGATATTCTTTTTGACACTAATGTCCATCATTATGACACTTAATCTTTAACATCTTTATGAGGGTGTCTACTCCCTGGAAAAATCTAGAAAACCTGGAATTCTCAGGGATTTCGTTTTTACCTTGAAAAATCAGGAAATTCTCATGGAATTTTATTCAAACTCAGAGAATTTTTCCAAAAATTCTCTCTTTGATCATTTTGTTCTTATATTGCAAGCATCGGCAATCGGATTGGCCAATGATTGTGTGAATTATATGTTTCAAATATATTATAAATATATATATCTTTCTCTCTTTGATTATATATGTTCATTGTCATAGCAAAAAGTAATTCTTACAATTAATGATAGAAAATGAAAATATTATGCAAATGAAAAATGTTTATCTTACAAAAGTCATTCAGTTCTTTTCAGTACATTTTTAAAATTAACATTTAAAATTTAAGTGGTTTCATTTTTCCTTTGTATGAGTGAAAAGCATTAAAAAGTGCACACAAAAAAACTTATTTTAAAAAATTCCATCTAAAAATTCTCTAATTTTACCTGGGGTTTTGAACAAATTACCTGAAAAGTCAGGGAATTCTCAGAGAATTGTTTTACAAGTTTTGATAGGGGAGGATTGACATCCTGTTTATTCTTAGATCTTTTCTTATTCTTAGATTTTTATCTTATTATTAGAATTTAATCTCAAAATCCGTCCAGTTCCTCTTTAACTTTCATCGATATGGATCTTTCGACATTGCGGTCGCGTCGTGAAATTACACCTGCGCACGTCACGTTACAAAATTACAACTCGAGTGTGCACCGGCTCGACGTTGCAGACACGAGGTTCATAGTTTTTCTTTTAGTGAACTCTCTGCAACGTTTCCGAAGAATATGTTTATTTGCATTTGCGGTCAGGGCTATTATAATGAGAAAGCGACCGGTTTCTCGAATTACTTCTGCCTAAATAACTCTTAGGGTGTCTCTTTAAATTAGGTATCCTTTAGGCAAATTAGAGCCGTTTGTTATCGATTAGTCAAGAATCATCATATTTTTCTTTAAATTTTCGATAATTGTGTACAAATTAATTGGACTAAAAATTTATAAAAACATTAGACGCACATACGCATTCATATTCTTTCTTTCTTTCTCGTAACAACTTATAACTGCTATTACGAAAATATTGAACACTCGAGTCGAGAAACTTGATCTTGTGTCTTATTCGATCGATGCTACAAAGGAAACCTCTATTTTATTTTTTTAAATTTTCGTTTCGTGATTATTGATATGCAATCACGATAGTTGGTGAATCTTCAAATTCGAAGATTCCCGATAGCTTGGAACGAATATCAATTAGTAATTAAAGTCATTATGGTTGGCGAGCTATGTCGATCGTATGCCGGTTGAACAAGAAAAATACAATTTCTTGGTCAATTACTTGCTCGGCTAGCATACGATTGTAATGTAAGCGGCTTATGTGGCGTCCAGCTGTAAATAAGACTTAAAAGTCTATGTTACAATGGCGTCATGCATCCGCATTAATAAAGAAGAGGAGACAGCTCCATCGCGCGCATCGTGACACTCAATTTTGCTTTACGCGAACAATTCTCGTTATGCAGCATTTCTATGTGCTTCTAAAAGATATTTTATGGTATTGTAACCTCTCGGTTACTCTGTAAAAAAATTATTTAAAAAGTATTAGTTTATTATCAATTTAATTTTTTATTGTTAATTTAATTATTTAAAAAAAAAATTAATTTTTTTAAAATTAAATTAAAATTATTTTTAATTAAATAACTTAATGTGAAACAATTTTTAATAAATGATAAATATTTCGAGTCGGTATGTTTGTATATTTTTTTAATAGATTTCAGAGAGATAAATACATACTAGAGTTCGCTGACATTCTAGATTACGCGAGTCTCACCTTTTTATTGACAATTACTTGCGATGCGTGTAAAAAGTAATTCTTATACTTGAGAAAATGACTAATGCGTTTCGAAAGCGTAACCAATTATATAAAAAGTTATACATTAATCATGTACATGAGTAATATATACATATATGTACATGAATAATATACAAAATATCCCATGGAATTCCGAGTAGTTATCTTACTGAGACGGTTTGAGACGTAGAAAAAAAGTATTAAACAGAATCGAATGATTTTAGTTGCTCTAACTTTGTTCATCATTATTATGCATTTATGCATAGGCATGCAGTTGTAAAATACACAATTGCACCTTTGTCTTAAATAAAACTCTGTCTTTTTTAAAACATCATTTTATGCAATTTTTTATTCTCTATAAGGAAATATTAAAGTATTTATATATCAAAAATTCATTAATTTAGGGAATATTTTAATTTTAGGAGATATTTTAATTTTAAGCTGCGAAATAGTAGGATATATTAATTTTAATTTGTGAAGTAACACTAATAATATAATATATACAATATATATTTTCTTTCTTAAAATTGATTCAAAAAAATGTCTTTTAGCCTAGATATAAAATTTATTTAATCCCTAAATGTTGACATACTTGAAAGATCCTTTAGTTCAAGTCGTAATACATTTTTATTAATAAACTTTATTTTTTAAACAATCCGATAAAAAATACTGTAATTAAAAAAATGATTGAATAGAAAATTAATGATGTAATAACTAATATTAAAATAAGAATAAGGTTTTTAGAATGTGATGGTAAGAATGCTTTACTTTTTTAATATTTAAAGATGAAAAAAATATGCAAGAAAAAAGATTTTTTTTTTTTTTAGGATAGATTTTTTAAATTATTTGATATATTATTTTATAAACATTACTAGTAAAAATCCTAATTTTTAAATCGTTCAATTTAATTCAGAATAAAATGTTATACATGATATCTATTTTACTCCAGTTTGATGAATCTTTTATTCATTTACTATAAATGTGTATATTGTTTCTTGAAGATCCGCTCTCACGTGGATTTTATTGCGTTTATCGGTGATTCAGGCCATTCATAAGTTAGGAAGAGTCGTTTCTTTGTCGTCGCACAATCTTTCCGCTAGATATTTATTGTACGACATTAAGCCATAAAGTCTCGATATAGAAACACGATGATACACCTATAGAAAAAGAATAGAAAGCGATCTCGACCTACAATTTCGTAATTGCCGTGTTATTATGTGGAGTCAATTAGAGGTAACGTGTGCGTTTATCTCGACGGTTTCCGTGGATTCGCGGACGGTTGTCTAATCTTACGAATTATCATTAATTCTGTAAAGGACATCTCTCTATTGGAATCGATATATAATAGAAAGTATCTTAGATTGACAATATTCTCCCTCCTAGGTAAACGTTAATATTAATGTACAAACAACTCGTTGTATTTTCTTTATGAATGAGACCGTTTGAACTATCTGAAAAGTGTCAGCTTTAGAATTCTGTTTTAAAAGTGAATTTGTGTGGCATATCTGGAATACGCGCAACGCGTAATGAATGCATACCTTCTTTGACACTTTTGGTCGAGTATCCCGTTTCACGAGAGATAGAGAGAGAGAGAGAGAGGGATGACAGAGTTGATTAGCTCCAATTCTATCACACGCGACGCAGGTGCAATTGCAAGAGAGCGCTCTCTTTCTCTCTCTCAAGATCTCATTCTCGCTTTTTGGAGTGTCTCGCGTCTCAAGAGAGAGAGAGAGAGAGAGAGAGAGAGAGAGAGAGAGAGAGAGAGAGAGAGAGAGAGGGATGGAAGGGAAGACAGAGTTGATTAGCTCCAATTCTATCACACGCGACGCAGGTGCAATTGCAAGAGAGCGCAG